ACCTCTATCTGAATGAATCTGACCTAGTGACACTACAACATGATTACACACCCAACTAGCTCTTTCAGGAATTGTTACTTCAGTACTTACAGCTACCTGCAAGGCACAGAATTAAGGGAGTTATTATGTAAAGATCCTTCCCAACAAGGTTGTATTAAAAAAGCCCACACTACATTAAAGATATGGAACTCGTTTGGAAAGAAAAAAAATGCTGGTGAAACAGAATGAAATAAAAACTAAGGATTTGGGGCAAGAATTTGGATAGATGCCTCAAACTTCCATAACTATTGGAAACACAAATCAGACACAAACCCACAATTTTAGACTATCCTTTACTTAGATATATTGACTCTGGTCACACAGTGAGCACTCTGGTGATACATTCTTGCTAAGCGACCATTAGTATCAGCAGTAACAAAATTGTATAGACACGTGCCCACACAAATGGACCACTCCAGAAGATACTGTTCCTTGCCTGTCTTTAATATTCCCAGGTGGGGTGGGCTACCTTTTCCAGCAAAACAGTTCTTAACTAGAAAAGCAAGACTTGTGGCTCTCATTCACACTAAGCAGTGGTCCTTTCCTGAAAATGCTATGGAGAAGCATGAAAGAAACTCTGTGGGTGATCCTGGACAAAGGAAAAAATTGTTTCTGTTTGATCAAGACTCTTAAACTGGTACAAGCCAGGAGAGAGAAAACAAAATACACAACAGTGTGTTCCTCCTTTATTACTTCCCCAGCTCAGCCAGAAAATGGCCTATTATATAGCTTTTTCATTTTTTAGCTTAGTAAACAGCTGAAGAAACAGTAACTTAATATAACCTGGAAGAACTCTTAACAGAAGCGTGCTGCCAGCCTGTTTCTACTTGGCTTTCTGAAACCAGTCAACTACAATCCATTTAGCTCAAGTTTTCATTTTAATTCTTTCTTTACTTCCAGCTCCACAATCTAGGAGGAGTAGAGCTATAAAATTGCATGGTGTCTTTCATCTTTGCCCCGCCTCTTTCCTGCTTTCTAAGGCAGATGTGACTTCAAGAGAAAATGTCATTTTAAGCAAGCCACTCCCATAGAAGAAAGAGTCTATCTGAAGATCATATGAAACCATATGGATTCTGCAAGCTCTCAAGACAGTTTTAAAGAAGCCTGAGCTGATAAGTTCAGTATTTGACCCTCCACTGCTTCTGCACAGAGGTAGGACCTGATCAAGTCAAGCTCTCCATCCATCAGCTAGTCTGCCAGTTTGCTCTAATTCTAGTGCTTTACAAGTCCCAACACTAACAGTCTTTGGACTTTTGTGTCCTGGACATAAAGGGCTTGCAGATCTGGCACCAAGATGGAACTTACTCCTCACTAAGGTAGGAGAGACATCCAAGGTGCAGGCCTGATGCGACTACTCAGGATCGACACAAAAGACAACAGTGAAGATTGCTATTGATGCATATTTAAGGATTCTGAATGTCAAAAGGATGTCTAGGTTAGACCAGGGCACAAGCACATTGCAAGAATTAGGACTTTGCCAGCCCTTTCAATTTTTGAGGAGTACAGAACAGAAATGATAGCCTGAGAACAAACAAAGTACATCAATTAGGTATTTCCCCAAGTAAAAGATTGCTTGACTCATGCTCTGGAAACATGGGAACATTCCTTCCTCCCTTGATAGGAGCAGGATGTTAAGCCTGCCCGTGTGCTCACTGTAAAGTCTGCAGAAGGGAATGGGATCTCCAGCACTATGGCTCAGAATCACCTAGGATATGAATGGCCATGCATGCTACCATTCTGACAACGAGTATGTACTCGCCGGTGAGAGAAGAGAGTGATTGTTAGAAGTTAGACATATGTTTTTACAAGCACAAGATTTTCTTATATGACTAGAGAGCTAAATGGAGTATAAAAAGAGCTCCGAGTTGGTCACAAGCTCAAAGCTTATGACTAACTAGAACAATCTTCAGATTTGTTTCCCAAAGACTGGAGCAGGAGCCGCCATTGGCACAGTATTCAAACATCGGGGACTGTAGGGGCAGAAACAAACAAGCCTTGCAGTTTCCTGGAATACACACAGATGTCAAGGCAAAACTGTGCAGTGAGAAGTTTCATAGTTCCCTGGAAAGAAAATAGTATACCACTAAATAATTGATGCAAATCAAAATAATACAGGATGTGTCAGGATCTACACACTTCTGTTTTAAAGATGATTGAGTGAGGGTGCAAACTGGATCATTGCACTTAGAGCTTTTTTTCTCATTTATTTTCTTACTTGTTTTATAAAAAAGGAATA